ATTATCACAAAAGAGTTATATCGATACGGTAATTAAGAGATTTGGGATGCATGGTTGTAAACCAAGTGACACTCTTATTGTTAAGGGAGACAAGTTTAATCTCAATCAATGCCCTGAGAATGACCTTGAAGTAAAAGAGATGAAAAAAATTCTCTATACTTCAGCAATTGAGAGTTTAATGTATGCTCAGTTATGTACACGTGTGGATATAGCATTCATTGTTAGAATGCTAGGTAGATAGTTAAGTAACCCTGGAATGGATTATTGGAAGGCAGTCAAATGGGTCATGCGGTATTTATAGAGAACAAAATATTACATGCTTACGTACAAGAAATTAGACCAATTGGAAATCATTGGTTATGCTAATTCTGATTTTTGCCAGATGTCAAGACAGTAAAAAAAGATCCACATCGGGCTATGTCTTCCTGCTGGATAGAGGAGCTATATCCTGGAAGAGTGCTAGCAGACACTTATAGTTTCTTCAACCATGACAGCGGAGTTTGTAGCGCGTTATGAGGCATCCAATCAAGGAATATGGCTGAGAAATTGTCATTGGGCTGCGGATTATACATGGAAATGAAAAATCACTTAAGCTATTTTGTAACAATAAGTCGACAGTCTTGTATTCAAATAACAATAGGAGTTCAACAAATTCTAAATTTATAGGCATCAAATTTCTAATGTTTAAAAAAAGAGTTCAGACAGGTATTCATAGAACATATTGGGATAAACTCCATGATAGCAGACTCATTCCTAAAGATCTACCACCCAATGTCTTTCATGAGCACACCGTTCACATGGGTGTTGTAATTTTTGATGATATGTTAGTTTAGTAGGAGTTTGTAATTTTGGATGTTGTCTTTTTGACACATGTTTTTCGTTGTGTACATTTAAGTTTATTTCAGTTCATTCCAGTAATGAAGTATTCCATTCAGTTTTTCACTCCGATTAAAGTTTTTTTTGGTTTGATCTCATAAGGTATTAAAGAATAAAGTATGACCAGTTGAAAATAAGCATGTTTCGATCACATTACATGTAATTACCATAATACACATCCACACTTGATCTATATCATTTGATTGTATTGATGTACGTGACCATTGAGGGTTTAATTATAATACTTGTAACGAAAATTACTTTGATCCTATATTAATATAATTAATTGACGAGATTGTTTGGAAATGCTTTTGGTTATGATTACAAAAATTTTGAGTTCATAAGGTTATACACATTTATAAGGTAAAATATGTTGTCCAAGTGGGAGATTGTTGGGAAATTATTTAATTTGTCATGTGGGCCACATATATAAATAATTGTATAAAAAGACTATATTAAAGTTAAGTCCAAAATTAAAGTGATCTATTGAAGAATTAAGTAATTGAGCTTTTGACATATAAATAAAGTGTGAGCCGGATATATATGTAAAGACCAGATTCATTAGGGTTTGTATTTGACGATGAGTCAAATACATATGAAAACTATATATAGAGTTATTGTCCTCAATTTATATGCAATTCTCATTCTTTGTATCATCTTATCAACACGAAAATTAATAAAATATTGAAAAGGAAGATCCAAAAAAACCCACAATCAAGAATTATAATCGAGAATCAATAAAAATGTTTGGAGCAATTAAATTTAAGGACAAGAAATAAAGATTTAAATATCAAAAATTCAAGATTCATTGTTCAAGGTACAAATCAATATATCAATATATATTCTGCATTAATTAATTTTCTTGGTGATTCGACTAGAAGATTTTGATATTTTGTAAAGTTTGAGTTTATAAAATTTCAACATATAACCTTATATATATCTTGAAGCAATAAGATGACCCATATACTGTATGGTCATCCAATGCTCATGACTCAAAGAACCATACCATATAAACATTTTCATAGAGTCTAGAGTAATCATCGAAATGGGATTCAAGCTTTTGTATTAAAAATGAGAGTTCGGGGATGAAAGTTTCTACTACTTGCAATTTTTCACTAATAAATGTCATAAATGTTGTAATCGATTGCGCATTTTTTCAACCAAAACTGGAAATGTATATGAAAGAAGTTATTTCAAACTTTCTATTTAATTGGATAATAAATAATTTAAATAAATATAGTTGTATTTTACGTTTTACCCTGTGGGGATATTATTAAAGATAAAAGTTAGATAGCTTCTACGGTTCACAACCTAAATAAAATCTGGATAATGCAGAAAGAAATTGTTGCTTTTAAATTAATTGAATTTCTTCGTAATGCTTCTAATATTTTTAATTCTTTGATGAGTATTATTAAAGAATTTATTTCAGAGAGTAAAATTCTTAGTTTTACATTGCAAAGGCCAACGAAGCATTATTGATAAATTAACTCGACACACCCCAACTTTGGTGGTATTCTACCTCATTTTTGTTGTACTTGTCATAATAGACGACAATAGGGACAGCAACTGAACGGAGCGCGGCGGGACGGGACGGTTTAAGGCTGGGTCGGGCCCTTGCCACGTTTACTACCCCATTTAATTTTATTTTTTTTAAGTTTTTGATAATTCATTTTATAGTCCACATTCATTAGATTGAGACAATAATATATTTTTTTAATCTTTACCTATTTTTAAAAGTTAAATTATTCAAATATATTTGGTAAACTATGGCTTTTATTGTTTGCTATATTTTTTTAGATAATTTTGGTTGTCATTTTCTATTAGAACTAATGAAATTTCGTGAAATTTTTCATTTTAAAGTATTGAATTCTTTAAAAAAAAAAATTTAACGGGGCGGGGCACCCGTTCTTGCCCCAGGGCAAAATTCTACACCCCGTCCTATACCCAAATACCTGATTAAGGGAGTAATCCCCATCCCATTCGGGGTGGGATCCCACGAATATCGGGTTTGTCGGATTTTTTTGCCGTCCCTAGACGACAATTAAGTGCGCTCTAACTCTATTTTTTTTTTTAAAAATGATATCCCCTAATGGAAAACAAGTTTTTGATGAATATTATAAAGAAAATGGACTAGACGCTAAAACATTTGTCACGGTTATAGGTCATAGATTAAACTCAAATTATCTTTAGCTACTTTCTTGTGAAGGCTACGAACATCTTATTACTACTTATTATGACACCTAACATCCCAGAATCTGATTTACAAGAGCTTTATTGGAAAATTGCATTTCATGTGAAAAAAAAATTGAAAGTTTTTTCAAACATAAGAATATATTCCTGGGCGTATATTATCCATTAGTCCCCTCCTTCTCACTCGCTTGTAATGCTCCCTAGATTTAATTTAGAGGGTACAAAAGTTGTTTTAAACCAAATTTCAAATAACTTAAATTTTGAAGCTCCAATTACATGTGGTAATATAGAGAGAAGTTTAAATGAAATATATTAGATATATGCCCAAAGATTTGGTAGGAATTTTCGATGGCCCCCATACTATGCCTAGCGCTACTGTGTCGTCATAAGAAGTCGAAGTTGAAGATGATGAGCTAGAAATATTAACAATGGTTAGTTCAAGTATATTCTGGTACTTCTTCTCCTTCCCTCGCCCAATGTACTTTAAATATTGGTACAAATAGAACATCGGTAGAATTCACTAGGTATATTGCTCATGATATGATTTGTATTTTAGAGTCGATAGATCCAATTGTTTTCCGTATAACACGTGATCTACTAATACTTAAGAACTATGGTATCGAAGTCTGATTTTAATGCAAGTGGTGGGATTTTATTTGAGTAAATGATAACAGTTATCATACTAGAGTACATATCAAGACTTCAAAAAAGACATACTAGAGAATTTAATGTATTTAAAAGAATTGGAAAAATGCAGAGTTTTAAATCCAAGATAAATTGAAAAATATTAGCTCACCAAGTAAATGATAACAGTTATCATAATTTGTAATTATTGTCATTAAGTACGCTAACTTTTTAACCCGGAGGGGTGGCTCAATTGATCAGACATTGTGTTTGCTCCTCAATGGTCACCAGTTCGAGTCCCCTCAGGATCACTGAGGTGAGTATCCGGCTGTAAACTTCAGGACCCCGTAGAATTAGTCGAAGTGCGCCCAATCTGGCCCGAACATCCACGGTTATAAAAAAAAAAGTACGCTAACTTTCTTTAATATTATTGTCGTTTCAGAAAAATTGAATACGCAACAACTTGTTAGTTTACAATTTTAATATCTCTTACATTATAAGTAACAGATTCCAAGCTTTAAAAAAGAGATGAGCGTTTCAAAAGTATTTTCAAAAGGAAAATTGAAGAGTTGCTTGTGGACCCTCTGGACCCATAAGCCCACGAGCCTATGGGCTAAGTCAAGCCTCATATTTGGGCTCAACCCGTCCCCAAGGTCGAGCCGAGCTTGTGTTTACATGGACCGGGCTAGCTAGTTCTTTTGAAAAGCTCTATCCTTGCACAGTTGGACCTAGATCAAGAGATTGTTTGGGAGGGATTTTTGGGGGAAGAATTGATTTTGAATAATGATATGATGGAAAATGTGTGGTTGAAAAAGAAGAAAAAATTATTGATGTGATGGAAAATATTATTTTATTAAAGAATGTATGGTTGAAAATGAGAATTGA